TTCAGTTACTTTTATTATTGGTGACCACATTTTCATCAAAATTATTGTAACTTTCTGGATTGACTTTATTATTAGCAGCCCTGGTTCCATTGAAATTAATTTAACTTTTGCATTTATTGAATTGTCCTGTGGCAAGTTGTCCCATGGCGAGTTGGCCAAGGCAAGTTGTCCCGCAGGAGTTGGCCATGGAAACGTGTCCCATTCTGGTTTTCTTAAATTATATTCCTAACACCTTTCCTAAACTGCATTCATTTGCTATTTATAGCAGTTTAGGGATAATGGTGCACATCAATGACAGAACTGGGCAGATATTGATTTTAAAAGTCTTAAGCTACTATAAGGATTTTTGTTTCTAACCTTTTTAAAGTGCTTTCCACTAAACCTTAAGGCAGGGATGTCAAACTCGCAATGTCACGTGACGTGTTGCGATGGATCGTGATTTTTTTCCATTGCCAGAAATGGGGTGTGCAGTTTCGCCATGACACATCTGGCCCACGGGCCAGCAGTTTGACACCCCTGCCTTAAGGTCACAGGAAAACATGGAGCACTTGGAACTGCAAGTCCTTTTCTTATCCAGTTATAAGGCTAGCACTAAGACCAGAGTCGAGAGCATTATTTTTATGGATTTACTGCAGTTGTGGAACTTTATTTTTTCCTACTAAAATTCACCAGCTAGTAGGAAAAACATCCATCACTCTCCCTAGCATGGGCTGGAGCTTTGTAGGAGGCAAGAATGTAATGGGATATGAGGAATTTGGAGTCAATATTGGTGACTCCTTCTGGGTAGACTTCTGCTTAGTAGAGCTGGATTAGAACTTAGTAGAGTTGGGTCAATTAGCATATTTTACTGGTAAATTTGCTTGCACTAAGCCAGGATTTCATTTGGATAGGATGTTGTGTGGTGATTTGCTATGCTACTTGGGATGTTTGTAACATCTAAGAAAATAGATGGATCAGTGATGGGATTCAAATATGTGAACAACCTGTTCTCTGTGTGGATGCCGCTTCCGGAAGTCCGTTCTGGGCCTGGGCAACAAAAAATTAGCTACTGGTTCTGCCAAAGTGGTGCAAACTGGCTGAATCCCACCACTAGGATGGATGCTTTCTTGGATGACCTTGGATACCTGCAGGATAGAGCCTTGCTTTTCCTTGCTCCTTTAGACAAGTAGTTCCCTAGTAGTGAATGATTTGTTGGATGGAACAATGTCAGCAGTCCTTCTCCTCTTTGCATCTATTCATCAAAAGGTCTTCCTTGGATCCAGTCTCCAATCTTCCCCTTTTGACAAAGGTCGAAACAAATAGCTTGGGGTCAATTACAGAATGCCCTAGGGGAAACAGATTACGTGAACCTTTACCAATCAGGCTTCAGGCCTGGCAAGGGACTGACAGCTTTGGTTACTCTGGTATATTACCTTTGCCAAAACCTGAATAGGGGATTTGTAATTACTTGCCCCAGCTAATGTCCCAGTAGCAAGTGGATGGGGTTGCTTTATTCCTGAAGGAATAAAGCTTGAGTCTTCTGGATTCACAGCCGCTACTAAAGCAGCAGTGGAAACTGTGGCCAGGAGGGTCCTTGCCCAACTTTATCAGGTACTGTAGAGCTGTTGTAGTCTTATCTGGGATGTCCAAAATAAGGACATTAACTACTTTAAACTAGCCAATGATTTTAAAGGTTTTTCTTGTTAAATTAATATCATGTTTATATAAGAAACATTTTTAATGCTAAGATTCAAGCGGTCTAGGTTTTGTCATACATACTCCAATTCTCTGTTCCACATTTCTTGCATATTATCCAGGTTTATTCATTTATTGTTGGCAGTATTTAATAAGCCTAACTTGTGTGTCTCATAGATTCAGAGGGATTTGGAAGCTGTCAAAGCATCTGGACTAAACAAAACAAATGTAACAAATGTTTTAATTAAAATTGTAATTCGGTTGGTTTTGGTGAACCACATTAATAATTAACTGATGAAGAATAATTATACATTTTCTGCTCATTTCCAAAGAAAGGCTTTTCCCTCCATCTTTACTGAAGATTTATACCAGAGAATTGATTTCCAGAGAGAGATTGTAATTACATACCTAATGACATATGTGTCTAAATGCCTTCAATATTGATTGCTCAGAATTCCTACTAGGCTTAGAACCAATGGTGGCTAGATCTTAAAATTGCTAAGGTTCAGAAACACTGAAGGGCCCATAATGGTAATATTCAGTACTACTGTTTCAATACATTATATAAGTTTTAAAAATACAACCAATTATTTAAATTCAATGCCTTTTTAATATGAATATTGGCATGTGACCATTTCATAGAATTTGTCAGTGTGTTGAAAATATCTTTCAATTCTGGAGACCCCATCCTCAAATTTTAGGGAAGAATTAGAACTTCATCAACAGGAAAGATTTAAACTAGACAAAAAAGGTCATGGTTTTGAGTTTGTTAAAAATGAATTTGAAATCCGACTATGTGGTAGTGATGATCATATAATTGCCAAGGTCTATAAAATATTATTAAAATTGAATTTGGAAAATGAACATGTAAAATATTGTATAATCCAGTGGGCAAGGAATTTTGGATATCATCTGATGCTCATAAAAGAAAATAACGTTAAGCACTTTTGTTTTTACTTGGAAACCTCTTCTGGACTTTGTGCTTGAGAAGGAAAAAAATATTATAATTGTGGGTTTTACTGATTAGACTGATTTGCCGATACAGAAATGGCTAGTTCATACTACTATAGAAATGTAGAAAGTTGAGATTTGATTTTGTCTGATTTTACTGCAGCAGAGAGAGTCGGAAGTCGATGCCTTTTGTTTCTTCTCCCTTTCTTCACACCTTTTTTATTTTCCCTTTCTCTACTGTTGTCCTCTACTATTTGCATTTGTATTTTCACATTTTATGTCATAAATGAATTAAACTAATAAAAAAATATCTAAATAAAATAGTTCCCAGTTCATCAATCTTGAGGCCATTATTAATTTGTATTATAGAATCTGAACTCTTCTTATTTCTTATCTACCGGAAAATCAAAATAATAATGGGAATCTTCATCATAGATCTAATAGTTTGAACAAAAAAATGTTATTTTACATATTTATAAACATAATCTTATTACCAATTGGTAAAATACCAGATTAGTTTTATTTACAATAAATCCAAAATATGTACTGTATTGCTTTATTATTTCTGCAAACCTGGATGAAGATGTTTGATAAACAATAGAAAAACCCAAGACATTATCTGCCATAACAATTCGTGTTCAGTGCTGCCACCTGAATATCTGAAAATATCACCAGATAATCATGTCAAAGCTTCCAACATCAAAGCAAACATTTAGTCATCCTTAACAAGTGCGACATCTTAAAGAAACAAGAAAATTAATGCCACTGGTAACTATCTGAGAAGAGGGATTGGAATAATAACTTTTTATGCAAAAAATACTTTTATAGAAATTCATTTTCCCTATCCCAAATATATTCCAAAAATGTAATTTGCAGCACATGATTGCTGTACTTCTAATGCACTGTCGATAGATAGAAATAAGTTATTCAGAGACTTGGAAAAAACTTGTACACCGAAAAAGAATTGAGTGTTCTAGTGCTAATCAGTACTCAGTACTTCTTTCTCAGTTTTGCAGTGACAGGAAAAAATAACATGACTGATTTTTTTTTCTATTTCTGCAGCAAATATTTAATCATTAATTCAGTTTTGCCATATTACAAAATGAAATCCAAGTGGATTAGTCCCGTTACAGAAGCAGATTGTTTCATGTTTACAAAGCAAGAAGTCAAGCCACCCTATGCAGGTTATGATACCAAAGAGGTGTAATATTTGACTAAGCATTATAGTATATAGTATATAGTATATAGTATAGTTTATCTGATATCCAATTCATTCTATGAGATTTAATTGTAATCTGCAAACTCTAAAGTTATTAACTAATTTTTTTCTAGTTCATAGAAAAAAAATTATAAGTGTCTTGCAATTTGCTTTTGTATAGTCTTATTCTCACTCTAAACTAGATTATATTTATTTTTAAAAAATGGAATAACCAAGATGCCTTTCCTATAGATATGAGATTTTATCGGATATTATGACTAAAACAAAATTCTATTTATATTCACTTCTTTAAAAAGAACTGAGAATTCAGCAAAAATTGAACGAGATACAATCCTACAGCCTCAACCAAACAAAAGATTTACCTATTTACATATTTAAACAGCCTTTCCCTTTTCACAAAATAGTAAATTGTTTAAACAGCAATATATGCAACCAGTTAACCTGAAAGAGTTGAAAGCAGCATTTCACCATCTGCTCATAAATATGCCAATTCAGCTCTGCTGCTTAACAGCCAAGACCTCCATCTAGTGGTGAGTTGCAGCCTGACACTGCAAAAGAGTCACCTCTTATAAATGGATACTTACTTTATATATAAATTTATGATCTTCTCTACCTAATTTCTTCTAATTTATAAATCACAATTTATCCAAATACCACAACATATTTGCTTCAAAACTTTATTCAGATAGGTGTAATACTGTTATTGCAAAATCAGACATGCAACTGAACAGAAGAAATAGAATTACAAATAATTCAGCAACATTATAATGTCCAAAACAATACCAGATATTAATTTATGGATACTTCGATCTTAGCTAACTTAACTAGTTCTGGTTAATTTAAATAATGTAATTATAGAATTCTCTAAAGTAACATGTGAAGCTTCAATCCCATATTCTGTTGTTTTTCACTTCTGGAAGACAAGTGGAAAAAATACTTGACAGCAGATAAAGAAAATTTTAACATTCACAAAACTAAAGCTATAACTCAGGTCAAACACTGATATCCCTAGATATTATGTATCACTTGTTTTTTTAAAAATAATACCAAAACATATGTATATATAATTTTTCAAGATGTATTTGTATCTTCTCCTGAAAAAGGCTATCTTGGGATGTATAGGTTACCCTGATCTTATTTATTGTGAACTGGCATTCTAATCACTCATATACGCATCTGAATCTTTATCTGATGAAGGTTCACTCTTGTCATCCAGCCTTTCATCAGACACATATTCTGGTCTCAGTTCCCAAAGGTCATATTCAGTCAGTTCACTTTCCAGTGGAACTGAAATCAGGTCAGGCGACAAGAAGCAGTCGGCATTCAACACCTGTTCTGCAGTCATCCGATTACCATAGCAAAGGAGTTGTGAAAGCAGAGATTTAACTTTATCATCCTTGAAAGAAAAAGCATGAAACATCACTCAATCAAAGTGCAATTATTCAAAATCAATAAATGGGAATATTTGTTTTGCAGAAAGAGTAATTAACATTTTATTATATATCTCTGAAATAAAAAAACAAATTGCTTGCTCTACTGCAGGTGAGAGGCAAAATCTGCAAGATGGTAGCTATGGCATCATGTTCACATACTGTAAACCTTTGATGATGTCACCTCCACTATCTTCCAAATTTTGAGCTCATCATGCAGACTTCCCTAATGTATCCATTGTATTTCTTCTGTTTTCCATCTGAGCTTGGAGCACTTTTGTCAACTTCAATTCAGCATTTAATACAATCATTCCTCAGCACCTACACCTAATAGACAAACTGGACATTTTAGGCTTTAATACCTCAAAAGTAAGCCCTACCCCGAAAGTAAGCCCTAGCCTGAGTTTTGGGGTTGGGCCTAATATAAGCCCTACTCCAAAAGTAAGCCCTGCTTAAGATCTTGCGCAACCGGCCACCCGCTAATTCCGTCTGGTTGCTACCAAACACGAGGTGAGGAGGGGGGGAGCTTTCAGGACTGCTGCGACGAGACACAGCCGGTGGGGGAGGGGGAATCTGACCAACATGCCCTGCTTACCGGTACCCTGCTGCAGCCTCTCACGCTGCCCCATTGGTTCTGTGGCTGGTTTCAGCCGCTCACGGCATGACACATCGCATATCGCGCCCAATACTACATGAGGCTTGTCAGATCCCCCCTCTGACCCACATGGCCCTGATTTCCAACTCCAATGCAATCCTAACCCTCACCCCCCCAACCCTAACCCTCACTCCTTACCCAGGGGGGCAACCACAATGCCTTACCCCAACACTAACCCTCAATAAAATCAAGTTTGACCCACCCCCCAGTTTAATGATTTAATTTAATGGCAGATTCAAAGGGAATATTTTGACTCCTGACAAGATGAGTTCAAAAAGAAAGAGCTATTCCGTCTCTGGGGCAACCCTCCCCACTCCACCTGGAGCATCAGCCTGGCCGCCCCCACCTCGGCACCCTTCTGCCACCACCCCGCCCGGCCTGGCACAGGAAAGGCATGCATGCCCGCCTGCCTAAACTCTGTCATACGGTACCTTTACCATACTGTAGTTGTTCCACCACCATGCTCCAAGGCTGGCCTATCGCCACCACACTGTGTCTCCACTCCATGTGCAGACTACGCCATACCCCTCCCCCGCGCACTGGCCACCTACTGGTAATGTAAGATCTCCCCTGAAAACAAGCCCGAGTGCTTATTTCAGAACCCAGAAGAAAATAAGATCGGGTCTTATTTTCGGGAAAACATGGTACTCCTTTGTGCAACTGGATTCTTGATTTTCTTATTGACAAGCCCCAGTATGTGCATGTTGGGACTAATATTTCTAACATCATTTTCTTAAGCACAGGTTTTCCCTAGGACTGCATCCTAAGTCCACTGTTCACCCTGTTGACCCAGGGTGTAGAAGGCTTGCCACCAACCATATTATGAAGTATGCAGACAATACAACAGTTGTGGGCCTTATTCAAGGTGACAATGAGGGTGCTTACCAAAGGAGGTAGAGGATTTGGTGAACTGGTGTAGGAAAAAAAGCCTAGTTTTAAATGCTGGAAAAAAAGAGATCGTTGTTGATTTCTGAAAAGGCAGGCACAGCCATGCTCTTCTATGTATTAATGATTCACCTGTGGAGATAGTTAGCACCATCAAATTTCTGGGAATGCAGCTAATGAGTAGGCTGGTGTGGTTGCTCAACAGCAAGACACTTGGTGAAGTGGGCAGAGCAGCGCCTGCATTTTCTGCGTCACATGAAAAAAGTACATCTTCCTTTCCCTGTCCTTACTACTTTCTATAAAGGAATGATCGAGAGCATCCTTTCATATTGCATTACAGTCTGGTTTGGAAGCATCACTGCCTCAGACAGGAAGGCGGTGCAGAGAGTAGTGAGGATGGCAGAAAAGATTATTGGCAGTTCACTCCCTTCTATACAGGACATAGCATATAAGCAATGCTTGAGCAGGGTCTGCAGGATTGCCTGGGACACTACACATCCTCTTCACGACCTGTTTTCCTTTTTACCTTCTGGGAGGAGGCTTCGTGGTATCTGAAGCAGAACATCCAGATTCAGTCACAGTTTTGTTCCATACAGTATTAACCTTGTGAACTTCCTTTTTCTGCTATGTATTCAAGATGGACAGTGATTAATATTTATGTTATTTATATGTAAGGGTGTAGATATATACATGTCACATATAGCATGTTTACATGTTTGTTATGTATGTGTACACTTTTGATAACAGGCAACAGAATTTCACTTTTAATGTGTGCCAGTGTGCCCGCGGTAAAAAATGACAATAAAGTTAACTATTTTAGGAAAACAAAAGCCCTTCACTCAAGTGAAGGAAAGAGAGTGAGAGGCTTCCTTCTGGTCTGTTATGTTTGCCATATTTAATTTATGTTTTATTGATTTTACTGTAATTTCTTTATTTGATTGTTATTAGCCACCCAGAGTTATAGAGAATCAGGTGGGATATAACTTTAATATATTATTGTTGTTAAACTGCAAATTCACTGGGAAAAAAGTATTATAAAATAGAAATGCAGAACAATGAAAAAAGAAAATAGCACTAATAGAGAGACTTTTATATGTACAACCAACAGCTAAGAGCATTGAATCCAGAGAGGAATACTCTTAACATGCCTGGATAGCGTATGTAGTGACACTACTAAAAAAAATCTAAATTATGGTTAAAATATCTTGCAAGTGAACCAAGAGTCAAAAACATACAAATAAAGCAGGTGTTACACACCTGTAGAGGAATCCCTTTTTAAGGAGGCTCTGTAAACTCCATAAACAAATGGAACCTCTTTAAAAATTGTGCCTCTTTAAAAGAAAAAACCTCTACAGAATTGTGAGAATAGACCTGTTACAAAATAGCATGAAATTGCCAAGAGAATAGATCTGTAAGAAACTGATCCTATATTGGGTTGGTTGCCTCTGTTAGAACCTGCAAAACACAAAAAGGTTGAACTGCAAGCAGAGTCCTGCAAGTCCTTGGGTGGGATCTCCCCTTACTCGCTGGAGTTTGTGAACTCCAGCCAGCCTGATCTCCCACACTTGCTTGAGTTTGCAAACTGAGTATGGCCTAATGTCCCCTTGCTTGCTGGGTGGGAAGGCGTTTGGAGGTTTGCAAGCTCCAGATGATTTGATCTCCCTTGTCACTGGATGGGAAGGAAGCTGAAGGACTGCAGGAACCCTGAGGGATGCGAAGCAGAGCATGATATGCCTCAGAAGGTGGGAGTAGCCTTGAGAGACCAGGGGGAAGTAAAGCTGGGCTTGTTGTAGGCCTCCCAGATTCTCCCCTATCCTGAGGAACCCTGTGCACCCTCATGGTTGTTTAACAATTGCATCAAGGAAAGCAGGATGTGGGGTTGTTAAGTGAAACCATTTTGCTTAACAGCCATTGTGACATGCAACAGTAATGGGCAGGCTCCATTACAGTCTTATCTCAAGGACTATCTGTACCTTCAAAGAAAAGGTCAGAATATTAAAAATTAGTAGGAAAAAACTATTGGAGATAACGCTTTGACTATTTCTTTTCTGCATATTACCGTGTTTCCCTGAAAATAAGACAAAGTCTTATATTATTTTTTGCCTCCAAAAGAGGCACTAGGTCTTAATTTGGGGGGATGTCTTACCTTAGGACCACCAAAGCCAGGCCTCCCACACCCTGACACCTGTTGCACCGCTGCTTGACTTCTTCAGTGGCTGCTTGCTGCCACTTGTGGCAAGAAGCCGCACGGCTCTTTGGGCCATTGCCGTCGCTCGTGGCAGGAGGCCATGCAGCATCCTGCCGCGAGCAGTGGAAACAGCTCAAAGAGCCACGCAGCATCCTGCTACAAGCAGCGAAAACAGCTCAAACGCCATGCGGTTTTTTGCCGCGAGCAGTGGAAACAGCCCAAAGAGCCATGCAATGTCCTGCTGCAAGCAGTAGAAATGGCCCGAAATGCTATGCGGCTTCTTGCCACGAGCAGCCAAAATGGCCCAAAGAGCCACACAGCATCCTGCTGCAAGCAGCGGAAACGGCCCAAAGCACCGCGCGGCTTCTTGCCGCGAGCAGCGGAAATGGCCCAAAGAGCCACACAGTGTCGTACCAAGAGCAGCGGAAACAGCCCTAAGCACCATGCGGCATCCTGCCACGAGCAGCAGAGATGGCCCAAAGTGCCATCTCTGTTACAGCTCTGTGTAACTTCCTGTCACAAGCGGCGGCACTGGTGTGATGAGCCACGGGGCTTTACAAGTGTCAGGGCTTGAGAGGCTTGGCTGTGATGGTTCTACTGGTAAGGTAAAGGTGCTGGCAGACAGCTTCATCCCCCTACCCCAGCTTGATTTTTAGGCATGTGTCTCGCCCCAAAACTAGGGCTTATTTTTGGGGTAGGGCTTTTTGGCCCACCCCCAAAAATCAAGCTAGGGCTCACTTTCGGGCTGGGTTTTACTTTCAGGGAAACACGGTAGAAGCTAGTCAAAGTTATAGGAAAATTGCCCTTGTAAGTAACATTATTGCTTTCAGTCTAGCTTTTGTTTATACCACAGTGCACTGTCTATGAAACAACATTAAAACAGGACAAATAAAAAAATATGATCAGTAAAATCCTCTGATGGGAATTAAACATATATTTAAAAAATTGTCAGAAAAAATGCAAAGAAACTGGTTTGTAAAAACAAACTAAATAACATATTAGTCATACTTGCTTAAGTCACAAGAATTGGTAAATATGTATGCTTATGAGCCAAGAGTTACAAAAAAAATCTATTAGTCCTAATAATTGGGACTAATATTTATTCATTCAATCAATAACCCTATTTTTATAAACAACTCAAAGCGGTAAACATTCCAAAATACCTTCCTCCTCCTTCTATTTTCCCCATAACAACCACCCTGTGAGGTGAGTTGGGCTAAGAGTGACCAGACAAGGTCATCCAGATGGCTTTCAGGCTAATTCATGATTAGAACTCACAGTCTCCTGTTTTCTAGCCTGCTGCCATAAGAAGTCTGTTATAAATTAACAGCTAGAAACAAAATTGAAATGCAAATGGGGAAAATATTACTGAAAGCACTGGTGTATCTAATTTAGATTTTTTGTGGGAGAAGGGGCATCACAGAGATATCAAGCACTGAATTTGAGACTGAGTCCCAATGATATGCCCCATACCAACAAAACATGGGGCTTATTGTGGAAACAACTTGTGTTCCCAGTACAGTGAACTCCATATGTCAGGCAGACTGCAGACATTCATTCACCTCAGGCTGAAAAGTATCTGCAGGAGGGATAATTATATTATATAAATAACCTCTGAAACAGATATTCCCCTGCTTCTACTTCACCTGAGGTGTTACACTCCACCTCTTATCTAGCAGCTTCTCCTTGTTATCAAAAGAAACTCCAATCCTCTCATTAGCAAGGGGGAGGAGTCAGGAAATCTGATTTTGCATGTAATTCAGATAATATAATTTCTTAGCAAGATGGTAAATGTCTCTATTTGATAATCTAATTGGAACTATGTCTTACATTTTCAAATTGTTTTTTAGCTAGGCAACCCAGTTTTTGTTTCCATATGAACAGGGTAACTTCATAAGTTATATTTCTTCTTAGCATTGAATATTTATATTTTGTTATTTAAATTTAAATAAACTTTTATATTTGATTTTTTAAAAATATTTCTTTTAATAAAATTTGATTTTATCAAATAAAATGTACCAATCTTGCAAAATTGGTTTACCCAGATTTATACCAATTTCCAAAGGAGAGGCATACAAAGTCTGATACATTTACAATTCCTATTACAGTGGTGGCGAACCTATGGCATGTGTGCAGGCTCTGTGGGCACACATGCCATGCCCGAGATGGTGAGGGATTGGCCCCTGCCGCCCTGGCCCTGCCCACCTAGTCTGCCATGACCACTGCGGCCACGCCCACCCGGCACCCAGTGATAAATAAGTGGGTTTTGGGTTGCAGTTTGGGCACTGGGTCTCTAAAAGGTTCGCCATCACTGCCCTATGAATATTGATGACCTTAATCTATGAGTTTATCTAATCCTTTTAAAAGCAGAATAAATCATGATACTGTAACCTTGGATCATCCAAGTTCTTGTGATATTAAAAAAATAAGAAAATTATTCACATTCTGAACAGCATGCATAATTGAATGTTATGTGATTAGCAACAGTATAATCTTTTTCCAGTGATTGCTCCAGTTTTCTATTCATTTTGGTTATATTTCATTCTTCCAGAACCAATCCTTGCAATTATATGAAATAATCAAATTAGTTAGCAATACTTGAACAATACGTAGCCTCTGTTCTTCATACTTTATACCGATCTTTTCATTTTCCTGGAGATCAGCAATATGAAACTGTTTTGAAAGGTTTTGTATAAATAGTTGTCACTTTATGTCTTACATGTCTTAATTTTTTTATTTAACATGCATTAAAAAACAGCCAATTCTGCATTTAATCTGAAATATTTCAGTTGGAAAAAAACATACCATATTTAAGCCATCAATTTGAGGAGTTCCATCTCCATTTGTTTTCAATTCTTGCTTTCCAATAAATAGCTGCACATTTAAAAGATTACAAAATTATTCTCAAAGATCAATAAACTAAACATTGCACTGCCCAAACTTTTTCTCCCCCCCCCCCCCCCGGGCATCTGCATTCCCTCAGCACTGAATTTCCTGTGTACTCTTCGTCTGGTTCTGTTCTCCTATCCACTTCTTTTTTTTCCTTTTCCTATGTTAGGCTTCTTTGGCATGCACTAATTCCATTTAGAGATCAAGCTGGCCCAAAATAAACATTCCTGGCTCAACTGGTAAGATTACCAACAGTATAACAAAAAAGTGCAGTAAACACAACTTGATTTAATAATTATGAAAACTGTAATACTTTAATTTTCAAATATTCATTCTATTACATTGGCTATCATTATTTTTTTAATATCTTCTCTAAGACAGGGCTTTTCAACCTTTTCACCGATTGTATCACTTTTAGGATATGGCAATATTCGAGTACCACCTAGCAAGATAACAAAAACTTGATGACCCCCCCAAAAAACCCCGTTCAAAGTTGCAATTGCACTGAAATGACTTATGACCATTTTTCACACTTATGACCATTGCAGCATGCCCGGGGTCATGTGATTTATATTTGGATGCTTGGCAACTGATTCATATTTATGATGATCACAGTGTTCCAGGGTCTTGTGATCCCCTTTTGCAACCTTTTGACAAGCAAAGTCAGTGGCAGGGCTGCTGGTGGCCAAGTGCTAAGGCGGGACTTCTCTCCCTCCTTCCCTGCCTCCCTCTTTCTCATTCCCATCTCCTTCTGAAGGAAGAATTTGAAAACACCCTCCCATATTTTCCCTCTTCCATATATTCATCAAACAAGGAAAAGTCTCCAGAGACAGAAAAGACAAGTGCTGAAGGAACTAGGTTAAAAAGGTGCATTCCCCTTTAAGAATTAGCTACTGGCTAGAAAGGAAAGTTAAGGAGCCAGCAGCCAGCACTTAAGAAAGAAAAAAACAAATGTAGTAAGTACTGGCTGCCGGCTAAGGCAGCCTCCCCAAATGGCTCCATTCATAAGTAAAGGAATGCTACAGGAAAAATCCATTCAGGAGAAAAATACTTCAAAATCCCTTGCAGCAAAATATACAGCTAACAATAGCAGAGCAATAGAAGCTAACAGGAGACATCAGCCATCAGCCAAATAGAAATTGCCAAACACTCCTTAAGAACACAAAGCCCACATTGCACAAATCCCTGAACTTCAAAGTCACAAAAGCACATAAGAATCCTTCCACTCTCGATCTCCCTCCCCCACCTCCAGCAGATGCTGCCTTTCTTCATTCCTTGTGGAGGGCAACCCCTCCCCCGCTGCGTTTCTTGCCTGTTTGTTGCTGCCAGCATGGATGACTGCCACAAGAAGGTGTGGATTTCCTCTCCTCTCCTCCCACCCTCCTCCTTCTTTCCCTTCAGTGCAGCTAGAGTTGACTCCACCCCCTCCCAAGGCTGCTTTTTTTTTTCCTCTCTCCCTCTCCCATCCAAACTGCCTCCTTTTATAGCCTCTCCTGTCTCCACCCCCCTCCTCCTCCTTTCCCATCCGGGTGAGCCAGAAGTGAGCCTGGGGCCTTTGCCTCACCCCAGCAGCCCTGCAGCTCCAGAGGACTCTCACAGTAAGTCCTGCCCTGCGCTGGCTTGTTCCTTCCTCCACTACACTTGGCTGGGCAGGGCCGTGTACCACCCGCCACTTGCTAATGTACCACAGGTTGAAAAGCCCTGCTCTAAAAAGCACCATATAAATCCTTAGACAAACACAAAGTTATCAAAACAGAAGAGAGATGCTGCGATACAGCAATGCCTGTGACCAAAGATTTACATACCCAGTAAAGCAGACAACCAAAAACATACATATCCGAAGCTGGAGAAGGTGGCTGACCATTTCTTAGCTCTGGGGAAATTAAGCTCAAGCCATTCAAAGTCATAAAAGCTGACAAAGCACGCTTGCTCTGAAAGTAAAACAATCCAGAGGTTATATAGAGTCTTTGACTCTTATCCCCAGCCATATTGAGCCCATTGTCTGCGATATGAGGTCTATTGCTATTGACGCTATTCAGATATTATATTTCGGTGGCGTCAGGTATGGGAGATACAATTGCAGGAGACTTAAACTCGGCCTCTTTATCTGGTCAGCAGATCAATAGCAAAGCAGGTCTTAAGCTACTGCTTTTAAATGCCAGGTCAGCCTGCAATAAGGAGAGCTGGCATGGTTGTTGTTATCCAAGACACTCTGGCTGCAAAGTCTCCACAAATGCTTGGGTGGGAGACTTTTTTCTTACAATGGATTCTAGGAACCAGTTGAGATTGCTGCTATTATACCAGCTTCCCTACTGCATAGCAGTTTCCCTGCTTGAGCTCCTAGACTTTATTACAGAGTTAGTGGTGGAGTTCCCTAGGTTAGGTCCCCCTGGGGGACTTCAATCTGCCTTCCTTGGGAGTGGGGTCAGAGGTAGTGTGGGAATTTAGGCCTGCCTAGAAATAGAGATCACACACCCAAATTTGGTATTCTTCTTGGAGCGATGCCCTTATGACCTGGAATTGACAGAACTATCATTGGTGCCCCGTAATGGTCAGATAACAGTTTTGTGGCTATGCGTATTTCCAGGCTGCACTCATTCACAAGGAGGCGAGATCTACTAAATTGGTCTCTCCCATGCAACCAATAAAGCTGACTGGTTCAAAAGGAGAGGGTGCTATAACTGAGAATCTGCTGCATACTTGTCACCTCTTGGAATAAGAGAATGACTGAGGTTTTAGACAGTTACACCCAAGCAGCCTCTCGACCTGTGGATCTCACCATTCTTAGTACACAGAAGAACTAAGAGAAACGAGAGATTAAGACATCTAGACTAGAGCACCACTAGTGGAAATGAAGAACAAATTCAATTGAACATAAGTAAGAACTGCTATTAAAGTCTATCTTTGGCAATTCATTCAGTGAAGCAAAAATATTTCGCACAAATTGCATCTGCAGATAATTGCCCAGCAATCCTTTTTAAGGTGACATGAGTCCTCATAAATAAGGAGGACTTGGAGAACTACTTGCAAGGATACGCTGAGAAATTTGCTGATTTTCTGACAGATAAAGTCACTTGAATGTGTCCACAATTGTCCATGTAGGCATGGATATCAGTCGAATGGAGATGCCCTAGGAAGGTTCTTGCATCATTATTGGGAAATGGTTTGAACCTATAATTCCTTAGAAAGTGGACAGGATTCTAGGAAATGTGAGTTTGGCCACCTATTAGATCTGTCTCCCCACAGCTGATAGAAGACTTCCAGGAGGTGACACATGGGTGAGTACTAGAGGTGGTGAATGTTTCCTTGGAAAGTGGTCCTACCCCAGTTTTTTAAAGCTGTTGTGGTTCACCCCTTCTTAAGAAGCCATTACTAGATCCCACCCTGATGGACAATTTTCATCCTGTCTCCAGCCTCTCCTTTTTGGGAAAGGTTGTTGAGAAGATAGTCGTGCTGCAACTCCAGAGGATCTTTGCTGAAGCATATTATCTGAACTTTTCCTGGGATTCTGGTCTGGATATGGAATGGAAACAGTATTGGTCGCACTCTCTAGGGGGAGCAGGACAGGAATAACACATCTGTCCTTTCTCAAGTTGACCTTTCAGTAGTTTTCGATACCACTGACCATGGTAACCTTCTGGAATAGCTCCGAGGATTATTTTTATTTTATTTTTTTTTGGGGGGGGGGAGACTATGATATCCTGGTTTATTTCCTTTCTACACTTTTCATCAGTGTTAGCTGGGAGCAAGAATCCCGACCCTTGGCCCGATTCCCGCAGGGATCCGTGCTGTTTCCGCTCCTTTAATATCTATATGAAGGGAAGATCATCTGTCACCATGGAGTATGATATCATTAATGTGCTGATGATATTCAACTATGTATCTCTGCCCATAGTGAGTTCAGCGATGCCACAACCGCTCTCTTTCAGTGCCCAAAGATCTGGATGGGAAGGGCAGACTAAAATTGGACCCTACTAAGATCAAGAGAGTTGGGTTCAGGTCTCCTTAGTTCTTGGTGAATTACTATCTTTGGTTATGGATGAAGTTGCATTGCCCCAGGCAGAACAGGTATGTAATCTGGGGGTTGTCCTGGACTTGCAACTCCAGCTTGAGGTGCAGGTGATAATCAAGATTGTAAGGGTCTTTGTACAACTATGGGTTATATGCTAGTAATGCTTATTCCTGAACCAATCCGTCCTTCTCATAGTTACCTCTATCCCGGTCACCTCATTTGGACTTTTGTAACGAGCTCTATATGGGGCTACTCTTGAAGAATATGAAGCTTCAGTTGGTTCAGACTGTAACAGCTACAAACTTTTGCAAAAGACTAGATTTGCATGTGTCATCTCTTTTGGGAAAATTGGACTGATTGTCAATTTGCTTCCAGGTGCAACTTAAAATGCTGGTTATCACCTTTAAAGCCCTACATGGCTGAGGGCCAGTTTATTTGAAAGATTACCTCCCCACATTTACATCCACCCAGCTCTCCAGGGCAAGAAGGCAATGTATGTTGCTGATCCCATCTATTACGGAAATACATATGCTGAGACCAAGAAATAGGTCTTTCTCGGTGATGGCTCCCTCCTTATGGAATATAATTACCCTAAAGATAAGATTGACCCCCCCCCCATCTTGTTACTTTTCTGGAAGGCCCTATCATACCGCCACTGAAGAATTTATTCTTCTCTGTTATACTTTGCTGATAAATAAAAACACTAAACTGAGTAATTCCTCAAATTCCTTGGATTTTACACATCCAAAAAAGTGATAGTATTTGTGCTATTAAGTTACACTGTGCAATTCCTATTTATTTATAATGAAAATATTGTTTTACCTCAGATTTGGTGAAATCAAAATCTCCAACAATTCCCTGTTCTCTATTCAATGCAAACACATTGTTTTTATGCAATGATCCATGAATTATATCAGCTTTGTGTAGTGCACACAGACCACGTGCCACTCCTTTCATTACTTTTAATGTTTCCTAAAGTGATAAAAGAAAGATCCTATAAGATCAGTGTTCCCAGAAGGATTTCAAAAAATGCTTATTACACATCCAATGAAAAAACAAGAGAAAAAACTACTTTCAAAACTTCTATCAAACTGAATTTATAGTTTCCTATAAAGCATTAATTTTCCTAAGCTTCATTCAGTAGCATAGGACAATTAATTCAGATTTCAAAGGTGAAAAACATTTTGTCAACAGTTATTTTAAAAACTAATAATTGTTTAAACTTTGCTGGAGGCCATAGAACAGAATCCTTTTTTTCATTCCTCCATCATTCTTCTGGGGAAGGAGATTACCCACTCTGCTAATGGCTAGACAAGGGATAAGATGGGAGTTCTAAGTATAACATTTCTAACATCTTTTTATTCTCTGGAAAGCAAAACGGGGGAAAGTGCTAACTAGGATCAATTTTACAGCAAAAATATACATTAAATATGGGTTCTACAATATGAGAATCTGAAATCAATATTGCTTTTGCCTCCTACAATTAACTAATAGGTGTACAGTACATTTAAAAAAAAATCACATTGCTCAGCTACTAAGGAGGTCAGAAGGGAGTGACTGCAACCTCTTCCTTTTTCTTGGCCAGATTCCTTCAGTAGGGCTAGGACAGGGGTAGGCAACCTCGGCTCTTTTATGACTTATGGACTTCAACTCCCAGAATTCCTGAGTCAGCTATGCTGACTCAGGAATTCTGGGAGTTGAAGTCCATGAGTCATAAAAGAGCCGAGGTTGCCTACCCCTGGGCTAGGATATACTACATAGGCACAAATCAGCCTTTGGGGGGAAAGTAGATGGGGCTGATGGAAGCTGGCATTTACTTCTTGATGGTTATTTCTTGAAAGAGGAAAAAACGCTGTTTGGGATAAGCATTGGGCTAGGGGTAAAGAGCAAGTCAACCAGCAAATTCAATAATCAGTCACGGGGGAAAAAAGGCATCTTGTAAAGAACACTAAAAACAAAGTGTGACACTGAATATATCCACAACACTCACATACATACATTCAAAGATCAAGAGAAATAATGGAGAAAACTCTCTGAATATTCCATATTCAACAGCCAATTAATCAGTATAGTATACTACAGGGCTTTCCCACCGACTGTACTACTTTTAGGATATGGCAATATTCGAGTACCACCAGTCACCTAGCAAGGTGTCAAAAACCTGATGACCAAAAAAAGAAAAAAAGTGATAAAATACAGGTAGTCCTCGACTTACAACACTTTGCTTAGTGGCTGTTTGAAGTTGGCACTGAAAAACGTAATCCTGCCCCTCACCAGAGCCCCCCTTTTGTCTGCACAACGATGCAGCAGAAAGACCCCTGCTGCGCTGGGGACGATAGGGATATGCCCTCTGCAAAGTAGGAGCAGGGTTACTATGCTCCCTGTCAATCAGGTTTGATTTCCTTTCTTTGCCCCCCTCCTCCCTGCCTCCCCTGCTTGTAGCTGCCTCTGAGTCCCTCAGTCTTGGGAGTTAGCATTGCTGGCATCTCTTTCTCCTGAGCCCCTTGTGCTGGGTAACTGTTGCCACCCAAGAGCTGTTTTAAGGTTAGGGAATCTTTGGTGGGATAGCCAACTAGCACCCCAACATGCCGCCCATGCCCCCACTTCAACCGCAGAAGTCGCATTCCACCCAAAGCCCCTGCAATCACCTATCGGCAATCACATGCTGCTCCAAGGAGGAATGCTGGAGGCAAATGGGCGGAGGCGGGAGGCTCAAGGAGGAGAAGGTGTGGCCAAGGGTAGGAGGCAAAAGATTCTAGACCTGCCGCCAATCAGCTGTAGCTGCATGTGCCAATCCTGGGCTCTCAGTAGGACCCAGGCAACACCTTGCGCAGCTCCAGCTGATTCTCTCAGACCTGTGTGGCGCTGCCGCCGCTTCAACTCATCCACTTTTACACTTTTTTTTTACAGTGCTTTTCAACCCATCGTATGCATACCACCTGCCAGGTGCCAACGTACCACCAGTGGTATGCCTACCACCAGTTGAAAAGCCCTGGTATACTATATCAATCAATATAGTATAGGAACATCTGAAATATATTTTTGAAGTTACCAATGTATTCATTTACGCTGATTGAAGATGTTCGACATTAAATTAAATTTGCTAAAGGAAGTATTTTTTAAACAAAAATGATACAAGCAAAAAAATACATCCCAGGTATCTATAGAAAACCCATAAAAACTATTTGCATGCTTCTTAAGCTTTCCAACTATAAATACACAGTTTTAATGTCAACCATGAGCTACTTTGATTAAATTTAGCTATGGAAGATATAGATAATATAATCTGTAAAAAAAAAAACTGCATTCACTGATTAGAACAGCTTTTTCCAAATTTAATGATGTCTAGATATTTTAGAATGGCAATTCCCAGAATTCCCCAGCTAGTGGACCTAACAAACTAAGGAATGCAAGGGTAAAAGGTTGGTTTAGAAATTCAAGAAGGTGATTACTTACTTGTGGGGTTAAAGGTGCTGTCATCTGCAATGTCCCCAGGTTTGCTCCAGCATAGTATGGAATCATTAGATATATCATAGGATCAGACTTAACAAATAAAAACAAAAGTTTTATGTGCAGGAATAGAAAACATCAAATATCATCCCAATGAAACACTTTCCTATTTGTGTTTTTATATCATTTATATAAATTTAAAGAGTCTTATCTTAAAGCAGGGAAAGGATTTCTTTATGAGATCTTTGAACTTTTTACGCAGAAGTAACAAAGGGAAAAAATACACTTCAATGTACAACTTGCCTTGGATAAAAACAGGAACAATGATTGCATTAAACAAGATTCCTCCCTTAATTCTTTCCAAACTTTGTGATACTTTGCTGCTCTTTCTATTATTTGAGTTTCAATATTCATATCCACAATATATCCCTGAAAAGATAAATTCGGGTAGTAAAAAACTGTTCTGTGAGATTATTAAACTATTTCCCAGAATATGAAAAAGGGAACCATTTCTACCAAATAATGTTTCTATTTTCTGAATTAATCAATGGAATCTTTATTGCTTTTGAATAATAAAGTACACACTATAGCCCACAATTTCCAAATGAAAATAACTGCATTCTAATAATACTGTGTTTCTCACTTTCAGAACAATGACAGCTAGAAGGACAGATAAGAATAGGAGAGGAGTTACATTTGGCAACAACTGTAGTCTATAATCTGAATAAACACATGTGTAATTTCTAGGTAGTTATCTAAAGACATATATCATCTTCTCTATCCAAAGCTGCTTTTTACCAAGATTAGGATGTGTGTCAATTTTCAGATGATCCTAAATACCTACCAAGTCAATAAACAGGAATGGTGACTGCTAATACAGGCAGAGCTAGAACTGGAAATAAGCTTTACCGCTATTTCAAGTTGCCATAGTAATTAGCTTTTTAAAATGGCATGGTTGTCAGAAATCTCAGCCAGCATGCTCTCTGAAAAGTGGATTTAAATTGCTGATTTCTCCATATTCAAAAGGCAAAACCAGATAATTCAGTTTAGCTACCCAAGAAAATGAACTTGAACTACAGTGGATAAAAAAAAGTCTACACACCCATTTAAATGCCATGTTTTTGAGATGTAAAACTCAGAAGGAGCTAAATCACTTCAGAATTTTTTCACCTTCAACATAACATATAAGCTGTACAATACAAATAAAAAACAAACTGAAATCTTTTAGGGGAAAAAACACTAATGCAAAACTAGAATAATTTGGCTGCATAAGTACGCATACCCTAGGGATGTGGCTGTAATCACATTCAAACCAATGTTAAAAAGTAGTCAATACATACCTGTCATTAATTAAAGTGGCTCTAATCAAGCCCATATAAAGTTTAATTGTTCTGGTGGAAATTTTCTGACATTTACTCAGTTGCCTCTTAAAGCAAAAGCCATAGTCTGCAAAGAGCTTATAAGGCATCAATGGGATCTCATTGTTGGAAGGCATCCATTAGGATATACCATGGAACACAGGAAAGATAATCATCAACAAATGGGAAAAAAATGGCATCATCAATTTCCAAGAACTGGATGTCCCTCTAAAATTGATGGGGAAAAACAAGAAAACTGATCTTTGAAGCTGCCATGAGACCTACAGTAACATTAAAGAAGTTGCAGGGATTTCTGGCAAGTACTGATTGTGTATTACATGTGGCAACAATTTCCCATATACAAGTCTGACAAAAGCATGTGGAAAAATGTGTTATGGTCTGCTAAGACCAAGGCTGATTTTTTTCACCGTAATTCCAAAAAATATGTTTGGTGCAAAAAACAACACTGCACGTCACCAAAAATACACCATATCCACAGTCCATAGTGGTGGCAGTACTATGCTTTGGGGCAGCTTTTCTTCAGTTGGAACTGGGTCTTTAGTCAAGGCAAAGGGAATTAAGAATAGTTCTAAATATTAATCAATTTTGGCACAAAATTTTCAGGCTGCTGCTAAAATGCTGAAGACAAAGAGGAATTTCACCTTTCAACACAATGACCCAAATCAACAAAAGAATGGCTTCACTGGAAGAAGATCAAAGTTTTGGAATAGCCCAGCCAGAGTCCATACTGAAATCCAATTAAAAATCTGTGAGGTCAGTTGAAGAGGACTGTGCACAGGAGATGCCCTTGCAATCTGATAGGTTTGGAATGCTTTTGCAAGGAAAAATGGGCAAAGATTCCCAGAGCAAGAGGTGCCACGTGGTAGGCTCCTAGCCCAAAAGATTGAATGCTATCATAAAATCAAAAGGTAATTCAGCAAAGTATTACTTTAAGGACATGCACACTTATGCAACCATGTTTTTTATTATTACCTTTCCCCCCAAAAAAGATTTGTTTTTCAATTGAACTATACAGCTTATACGTTATATTAAAGATGGAAAAAATTCTGAAATGACTTATCTTGGTCTGATTTTTTTACATCTCGGTTTATAGACTTTTTATATCCACTATATAAATGTAGTAGTTTCCAGCTCCAAAATAAGCCCGGCTATTTTAATATTTCCTAAACCTACCTAAAGGCTTGTCTTTTATTAGCAGTAATTTTTGAGGGGGGGGAGGGACGACAAGCTAACCATTCAGAAACCATACCTTCAGGAGAACCTTTTGTCCTTGAATTGTGGAGCACATCACAGGATGTTTTATGCTCAGTTCCTTCATTGGCTCAGCATTTAAGAGATCACGTTCTAAACTGACAGTCAAACCTCCTGAGTTCTGGAGAATATGTATTAAAACAGCTTATTCTCAGTTTTGCATCATAGACCTTTTGTCAAAGTTACTTCAATCAATCTTAGCTTTGTAAAGGAAACAAAAACCTTACCATATACTTCAAAATTCCTACTTCAGGATGAAGGAGTGGCAGCTCAGGGAAATATTTTTGAACTAGATGATTAAGCTTTTCCTAAATTAGAAAAAAAAGTCTTCAGTAACAATTACAATATTAAAACAACATCCAGCAGTATGTTGGAAGCATGTTTTTTCTGTAGTATCACAATGACGACTCTGCAATCAGCAGGTAAATATTCATGGACCTTCAATGCAGAAGATTTAACTTTCTGGTTCTGTAGCAACTCTTTTGTCCCAAAGAAATGGCATCATCATAGCTCCACTTGTGTCTTCATTCTTCGGTAGAGCAGCATCTCTACTTGTTTATAGCTATTTTAACTAAGCATGTGATGAGAATTCAAAGCATAGATAATTGCACAATCAACCATTCTTGTCTGTAATTTTAAGAACAAAGCCAGGTGGAAACCCCATTTTATTTGAGTTTATAACAAGATGGGGAACCATTAGCTTCTTCTTGATGGTAACTGACACTAAATCTAGCAATAAACTGATTCTCAAAAACAGAGGAAAAATATCCCTGTATATAGGTGGTAGTACCCAGTACTAGCTTTGTTCCCCAAATAAGGCAGTTTTTGAGAGAAAAAAGGTCATGAGTACTGATCCTTAGCCAACTTCTTTAAAATATATCTATTTTCCATCTAGTGCCATTTACAGTTCCATATAATAGGACACTTTAAAAATGCCAAAGATTATTGGGGTAAACCAGAGAGCAATTCTCTAATCTGTACGATGGAACAGCCAGTGATCAGGATATTAGCTGAGGCCAATACGTATGTTTTGGGGTGCATTTTATCTGAACCGTGTTTGCAGACTCGGTAGCATTGTATTTATTTTTACTATTTCAAAACTACTGTACTCATCAAATGGTATTGCATAAATTTAAAAATTACTTCAAAAGATTAGAGTATTATTTGCATCAGATAATATATCCATTAAAATTGAAAAAAATACTTATTTTCTTCTATTTCTATTTTGTGTTTTTTGTATTCCTAGTATCCAGAGTCACTAGGATGAGGTGGACAGCCGCATAAATTCTTTATGTAAATAAATTAAAATACTGACCAAGATATTCAATTTTTCCTTCTGGACATATATTTAGGAGGAACATGAACAAAAGTTCAGTTTTTTCTGTTTTATCTATATCTATTTATAAATATGAAAAATATGTATAATTTGGCTCTACTAGTCTTTGGGTTATATGACACAGAAGGTCACAATTTTGCTTGAGATGAAGGGACTGACATCTGTCTTAATTTCATAGGCATTATACCATATATTACCTAAAATGAACTTCAGGGTCAGAAAATGACTTTTCCATAGATGCTAATATAACTGAGTACTTACATATTCTTCTTGTTCCTTATATATTTCCTGAAATACATTATCCTGTAGAGCATTGATTTCTTCTTTTATTTTCACCATTTCATCCGTGCTATAATTATCAGACTGCAGAAATTTAAAAATTACTACTTCAAAAAATTAAAGCCTTATTTTCACCTGGGAATATACCCATCGTAAATTGAGTATACTATTTACTTTCTCTTCACATTCCCATTCCCTCTTGTATCTGAAATTACATTAATTTCCAGTCACCGTATCAAATGTGCCTGCTCCTTTTTTGCCTGATCAAGTTAATACCAATTTCTTTCAGGGTTTTTTTGTTTTGTTTACATACTGAAGGTACTCTTGAGACAAAAGGTGATTGTCAGAAGAAACACAGATTCAGTTTCATGGCCAAATAACAATTAATATGAGATCTCTCTCATAAACCTATTAACAAGGATTAAGAAACATTTTTATTCATCAAACAAAGCAGTTCTATTATATGCCGCACTGGTCGACTCCACCTGGAATATTTTTCCAGTTTGACTCACCATAATTTAAGGAGGACAGCTTAGAACTGGAAAGTACACAGAGAAGAGCAATGAACATGGTAAAGGACTTAGAACAGAGATCCCCAAACTTTCTTGGTTTAGTTTTCTTAGAGACTCAATAATTTTTGAGTCTCTAAGGACACTAAGGACAATAATAATCACAGTGCCATTAGGCCACAATAAATATTTAATAGTCCCCTTTATTAAATAGTTAAGTCCAAATTTAAAATATACTGCAGCACGCAAGGCACACACTTGGGAACTGTAGATTTGGAGGTCTAGAAGTCTACAGATTTATTCTCCTCAGCTCCTGAGAACCCACTAGAGGATCCAAACTCTCATCAGGAGAAATTTCCTAACTATAGCATTAGCAATAGCACTTATATACTGCTCCATAGTGCTTTCAATGCTTTCTGAGTGGTTTACAAATAACAGCTATTAAACAGTAGAACAACCTTATCCCGAGGTTATAGATAATAAAGTTGGAAGGGACTTTGGAGGTCATCTAGTCCAACCCCCTGCTCAGGCAGGAAACCCTATACCATTTCAGACAAATGCTCCCTCACCAAATTTTTCAACAAAGGCTCTGCAGCCATTTATCTAGATAGTGTTAGGGTTGAACTAAATGGCCTCCATAGTACCTCCCATTTATATTACTACCAGCCACTATCCAATGAAAGGAGCTTTAGTAAGCTGCAGCTGCCAAAAAGCCAATGTAACCATAGGCTCCATCAACAGAGCTGCATCATCACAATCACAAGACACGATGCCATCATTCTATACTGCAATAGTGAGGCCACACTTGGAATACTGTGTCAACTTCTGGTTACCACTATACAAAAAAGATGCTGATATCCTAGAAAGAATGTAGAGAAGAGTAACAAAGATTATAAGGGATCTGGAAGCTAAATTATATGATGAATGGTTAAGAGAAATAGATACATCTAGCCTAATAAAGAGAAAGATTAGGGATGACATGATAGCTGTCTTCCAGTACTTGAGGGGCAGTCAAGAGAAGGCTTGACTTATTCTCCAAAGCACCTGAGAGCAGGATAATGGGTGGAAACTTTTAAAGAGAGATCCAACCCAAAGAAATTTCCTGACAATGAGAACAATTAATCAATGGAACAGCTTGCCTCCCGGAATTGTGGATGCTTCATCGCTGAAGGTTTTCAAGAAAAGATGACATCCACTTGTCCCAGATAGTATAAGGTCTCCTGCCTTGGGCAGGTATTGGAGAAGATTTCCAAAGTCCCTTCCAGCCCTATGGTTCTATGTCTATGTGACACAAAATGCTTATGCTTCTAGAACTGACATGAGGCTTTTTTCTTTTAAGTGATCTCTCTAGAGGTCAGAATGTTGTAAACCAGGGATAATTCTAAGCTTGCAGTTTCTAAATCTGTGGGATCTACTTATTCTGCTGAATTTACAATCTGGAACGTTCTCAATTAGTTGTATCCCAGCTTTTATGACTGCCAGCAGTATCAGCCAACATGGCTGTAGGTGATGGCAGCTGTTGTTAAACACAGTTTGCAATATACTTCCAGCCACAAAGACACCATGTACAAATAAGGATCTGAAAGCCAAAATACTGGGAATGATTATATTAATTCTATCAGACATATTGACAGAGGATATGGGTATTTTAAATTTTCAAGACTAGAGGTGGGGCTGAGAACTACTGTAGTTTTTGTTGCTGTCATGTGGCACTGATTGATTTTTTAGTCATTATTTGAAATTAGATGCTGAATGAAACAGACCTTTGGATTAGCCCTAGAGGTGGTACTTCACTTTAGCCCTATTTCTCCCTGGGTATTTATATAGTTTTGAGTGCTTTTTGTTATTCAGTATCTCCCTTCATGTTTCTTAATTCCTGTGTACTCCTCATAACTCTTTCATCCCAATTCTACATTAACTATACAATCAACATTTTACAGCTTTTCAATCTCATACTGTAATGTATCCATTTCGGAGTTATGATAACCTGCTGCAAGACAAATGGAGTATCTGTTGTTTTTAACTGCATAATCAATAATACATGTAGAAATTATGTACTTTCTTAAATTGCAATAATCAAGAATGAGGAGCATTAGCAATGTGAAACACTAAGTGCAAAATAAATTGTTTAGAAATCTGTTTCTTTCCAACTTTGTTCTAAAATAAATCCCTTTTGGCTTTCATTTGGATTTATATGAATAAATTATGTCCCTAACAACATTTCTCCAGAGCTAGAAAGCAACATTTTTTATGTCATCATCCACCATTTCTTATGGAAAATAAGAAATAATAATCTTAAAACATTAAAATATCACTGCCATACTTCTTCCAAGTTGTTTTTTTCTACTAATTTCCACCTCAGCTGTGCCTTTATGATTTTCATTCTCTTCTTTATCAGTAACAAATCATCAATATTAGGAGTCATATTCAGCCATTCCACAATCTGGTTTTTGAACTGAAAAAGAAAACACACTATTAATGAGAAGATTTCTTCAAAATGGAAAAAGCTCCTATACTTTGAGGAATATTACTCCTTATACACAAATTGCATTACAATATAAGTGTTAACATTTTCAGATTACATTTTTAAGTGATAAAAGTGAACATAAAGGCTAGGTTGCACTCTTATATGACTCATTAAACTTTATTTTTTCCTACTGAAATTACTCAAAAAGATGCATAAGTATCTTTTAAAAAGCTGTTAATGACGTTCTACATTATAGGATATGACAAAGAAGCAGCTAGACAACTGACCTCACAACTTTCAAGATATTTTTGATTCACTGCATTTATAAGATCTTGTTCTTGAAGGACCTTCTGCATAACCACATTATACATGTTTAAGATGACTTTTTTGTCTTTTTCATCTAAATCCTGAAAGGAATTATAGAGTAACAATAAATATCTATAATAACAACATTGCAAAATTTGTTGATTTTAAAAATATGAAGTGCATTCTAAATGGAAATATATGATGGGTTATCAATTTTTGTTTGATAAAGTAGAAAATATACCATTCATAAAGCAAATTCTCACAAATATAAATACGATTCTCCCATTTAGAGTAACACAACAGAAATATAATCCTCCACACAATTTACATCCATACTTCTTGATCAAGGTTACAAGGCTGAGTGTGGCAAGAGGAGCTCAATAAATGAATGCCAAGCATTCACATCTTTGCAATTGAATCAGAGTAAAAGAGAAATTTTGATCACCTGATTGCCAAGGGGGGCTGCAATGTTTCTAATTTTGGGGACCAGTCATTCAGCACTGTTGGAACTTCAGCCACTAAAGAAATAGTCGTTAAGCAAGGACCACCTGTATGCTATGCTGTGTTTCTTCTGCTATGGTTAGCTTTATGGCTTTAATATTTTATTACAAACATTGTGATATAGTCTTACTACTGAATCAATTTGTGTTTTAATGTTTAGTAGATGATGTCTTGGAGGTGAAGCTTTTCTAAAAGAGGAAGTGCACATATTTTTAAATACAGAGAACTGAATATGAGAAATCCTTGGCCCTTTTCTCCAAGTTTGAAGAAAAATGGAGAAGCAAGTTGGAACCTTTTTCAAGAAACTAACAGCAACTTGCTTTGCATAAAAAGACCTGGGGTTTAACCAAGTTTTTAATGCACATAAAGGTAATGAAATTATTTTCAAAATTCTCTTCTATTGTGTTACAAAAATCTTATTACATTAAAATGTATTATCAATATTTAGCACATCTGCTATTCCAGCTATGCGGAGATCTGGATTTGAGGATGCTTTGGAATGTAGAGTTGTCAGCACCTTCTTAAATTCGATGTATTTTTCTGAGATTGTGCTGCAGCTGTAGAGGATAGCCATGTGAACCCAGAAGAAGATACAGCTTCTTTAAAGAGTTACCAACAACTGCTATGTACTCTTCAAAACTAAATCACTTCAAAACCCCTATATGGTGCCTCATGATATACAATATTAATTCCATGATTGGGAAGAAGTAACTGATGTGGCAGACTCTTATGGTAACGCACTATGAGAATAATCTTGGAAATCAAGATGAGGAGCAGCTACAACCTTGACAACTATCAAACAATAATTGGGATGGAAGAATAGTTATGACTAGATGGAGGGGGAAGGATTGTATTTCTCCTCCCCGATTCCTCCCCCCCCCCATTCTTCCATCCTTGTTTCTCACTGAGCTTGTTTGTTTTTTTGCAGACAATTCATTATCCAAACTAGGTAATATCATCAGCGCTAGGACTGATGATGTTACCTAGTTTGGGTAATGAAACATCTACAAGAAAACAAGCAAGTTCACAGAGCACCAAAGACCCATCATGTCAACCCTGAGCTACAAATATTCTCCTTAATTAATATCCTTCCATCCCCCATCACCCAGTCTCAATTGTCAGTATCTATCCTCCATCCCTCTCCCCACCCCCCATCACAATTGATGAAGTTTCTTGTCTGAAAAAAGAAAAAACAGCCCAGTTGCCTTTTGAAAAAAGCACTTTTGATATTGTTATGTGAAAGGAAAAATATAGAAATATAGCTTACTGTTAAAAACATGTCAAATTCTTGTGACATATCAAGCTCGACATTCTTAAGAACTTCATCTACATTGACACCTACATCCTTGGATTTCATTAATACAGCTGACCCTATATCAAAAAACTTGACAGGAAAAAAAAGAGACACAAACAAAGAAGTATTAATCAAGTCTGCAAAGTAATACTCAAAAAGTTAATAGCGAATGAGAAAACTGCAATGTTAGAACTGGTTCCATTCAGCCTTAAGCAATCTCTATCTCTTTAAGCAAGAAAGCAAAAGAAGAAATAGCCAAGTCCTCCAAAAATTACTGTCAATACTGACTTGTACATAAAGCCATCACACTCCAATGCAGCTTGTCAACACTCAAGTTGAAGAAGTTCCAGTTGATTAAATCCATCTCTCTGCATCATCTAAAGTTCTTTTTTTTTTTTTACTTTTTTTATAACCAAGGAAAAGCCCCTTTCAACACCAGATTCCATGCACCAATAAAATTTACAGAAGTGCTATGTTATAGTTGTTCCACACTTATTCGCTTCTAATGACAAGAGGGGAACAGCAATCAGTTGTTTTTGTTATCTGGTACTTGAAAGAATATGCTATAGCTCAACTGGAAAGATGCTCAAGGAAACACAATTTGCCTCTGAAAACTGGATCATGCTTTCTCCTTGGTGTATTTGGATATGCAGTATGTTTGCATCATATTTCCAAGCCAATGGAATGGGAGCTGAAACACCTCAATTTCTTCTAGACCAAACCCCATGAAAAGATATTCATTCATTTTAACAATTTAAGAATCAGTGTGATTCCTTTTCATATTGTCAATCAGAGTTGAATATTATTCCCCAGCAAGACATGAATGCAGCCCAGCTGTCATTTTAAATGTAATCATGGTACTAATTTTCTCCTGGAAAAAAATATTTTGGACCAACAATTCTCTGATCAAATATTAATGGTTATTTTATATAATGAAGTGTTCCATTTTGAATCTCTCAATATATTTTTCACAAAAGCAACAATTAACTTCTTGTTTGTATTCAACTGCAGTACACATAGCAAAAAAAAAAGTAGGGTGCTTTTCTACATTTTACTGCCTTTTAATGAGATTCCTTTCTCTCCAGATGACTATTAGCTGCAGTGCTGAAAAGTTGCAAATTTATCTGATGCAAAAAATCTAGAAAGAATTAGACCAGAACCTCCAAACACACCTTCAATATAAATGTAAATTAGCTGCAAATCATAATTTGAACACAAAGCTTTTTAATATATATATATATATATATATATATATATATATATATATATATCTTTTTTACCTGAATTATGCTGCTGAAACTTAATACAAGATTTTGTAAGGAAGTATCTGTAGCATTCCTAATCCGACTGAATTTCTCCAACCTAGCATTCTTCCATTCAAAGAACTCTTCAAATACTTCTTCTGAACCCTCTGCTTCATCAGCCTGTCCATATACCACCTCCAAAGATCCTTGCAACTTCTGAATATCAAAATAGATAAAGAAGAAAATAAGATAATAGCAACAAAGGAACATAATTACACATTATAAAACAAAACAAGCTCCTCTGGCTTTATGCTGATTCCTCTAGTAACTATATGGAGCAAAACCTGAAGCAGCAAATTTCATAAGCCAAATTTCATTTCTGACCTATATATATCAGGAAGAGGAGGAATTATTGCTTATCTACACATCAGAAAGAAGAGAATTCCAAATATGCATAAAAGATATTTTTATATAGGTAGTCCTCAATTTACAGTCACAACTGGTATGTTTCAGTTACTAAGCAATTTGGCAGTAAAACAAAAAATCACATGACCACATCACTTAGTGACTACAACCTAAATTTTGCTAGTTATTACCAAGAACCATACTAATCCAAGCTATTCTGGTCTTCATCCCTCCCGGTCCCAAGTTTCAGTAAAGTAAGGGGATTGCTTCCAACTCTCCCCAACCAGCTATCCCCCCCATGACATCTCTGCACCCTGCCTTGAGGCACAAAAGTAGTCACAGAACCACATGGCTTCAACAGTTTGCCACACCCTGGGAAGCTGCAGCTGCCCTAGCTCGGTCCCAGTCACCCTCACAAACCTGCATTCTGAGACTGCTGCCACCCTGCCCTCAACTACCATAGTTGACCTTCAACATTGCCTTCTTGCTCCTGCTATTCAAAAGGCATGCCCAGCCTTGGCAGGCCTTAATATGGTAAAAAAGAAAAAACACACATAAAGCAACTTAGTGAAATCGGAGTGCACCAAAATGCTCCTTTTCACCATGGGTTTATGGGGTTGGTTTTGCTTTGTGAAAAAGGAAAAAAAGGCAAGAGCAGCCCCAGTTCTGTCCAGCTCACTGCAGAAAAGGCTCCTTTAAGTTTTTTTCTTCTTCTTTTCCCCAGTGCAAAGGGGTGTTTTGACATGCTTGAATTCCTTTAAGCCTTTTCTTCTCCAGTATGCAAAGCCAGCAGCCAGACCTCGTCAACACTGGGAACAAGGTGGTTGCAAAGGTCAGCAGGGGACCAAAATGGCAAAGATAGGGGAGGGGGGGAAATGGTAGGTGGGGTGAGCTGCAGTGCTGCAATCCTAAGTGCAGGTGGGCCGCCAAGTTCCCAATTTTGATCATTTAACCATGAAGGCACTACAACAGCCATAACTTTGAGCATCGATCTAAAATGCCTTCTTTCTATGACATCGCAACCTTGAATGGTTGCTGAACAAATGGTTGTGAGGACTATTTAAATTTGAAACAACTCATCTAGTTGCTTCATGCTTGTAGATGAAAAATGCCAAAAGACTGTAGGTCCTAAGGCTGATTTCATGTTTTAAAGCTTGCCAGTTCTAACACTATAGCACAACATGCACTAGACTTTCATGGATGTGAATGGCTACTATATACTATTTGAAAATAATGAAAAGCAGAAATAGATATAATTATCTGTAGGAAGAATGTAGTAGTGGGAAATAAGAGAAAATATAGGAAAGTCCCTGAAGTGCATGAAAAGAAAGGTGCCGCCAAGAAAGGTGCTGTCTACAACATTTACCCATCTGATTTGATTTTGCAGGTTTGACATACTCTGGATTCCTTTAATTAAACAATGTCATTTCTCAATCCCCAGAACTGTATCTTCTGCATAGCTGCATCTACCTTCTGGAACAAACTTCCCCCCAAGATCCCGACAGCCCCACTTTGCTGTTTAAAAAGGTGTAAAAATCTAGCCTTTTTTATAGGATGGATTACAATTACAAATAAAAGTTGTTTCGAAGTCATCTGACTTCCCTGGATTACAAATACAGCTTGACCTGGAATTTTCCAAGCTGTTTTGAGACAGAGGGAACAACAAGAAACTTCTACTATCAGAACACTTTGAATTACAAATTTTGGTATATTTTTTCCTTTTTGTTTTTTGTTTTTATTATTTTTACTATTTACCTCTCCTATTTGTTAGGAGCCTATTGGATTACAAATTCTGATTTATCTGTTGGATTATAAAGTATGATTAAAAGATAAAGATGAGCGTCCCAAATCTATCTAAAGCTGGAAAAAAGTAATTTCTGCTCCCTCCTTTGCTTCTGCAAGTCCAGTTTATCAGAGATCAATTGATACAATGCTCCAACAAGAAGAAGCTAATAACTTCCAAAAAGAAACACAAGCAACACTACAAGCAATCCAAGAGGCAATTGCTACTCACATGGCAGCTACGAGAAACCACGAGATGAAAAGTGATCTTGATAAAATGAACCAAAAATTTAATAACATGGACTCTCAATTTGAAAATTTCAAACAGATGGTTACAAAAAACCCAACAAAGAATTCAAAAAAATAGAAGATAAATGAACTGAGGTTGACCAGAAAGTAGAAGACTTAAAAGATGAAAACCAGAAATAAATGCAAATAAATGGAGAATTAGAAGACTCAATAGTTGTCATGGAAATGGAAAATGCCTCATACTTTTTAAGATTTCAAAATATAATGGAAGATAAGGAAGAGGACCTTCTAAACCTGATAATGGAATTATTGGCAGACGCATTAGGAATTGGGAAACAGGAAATGGAAGGAGAATTAGATCAGATCTATAGAGTCAACTCAAACTATGCTAGAAGAAATAAAGTCCCCAGAGAAGTACACATTAGATTTCTTAAAAGATCCATAAGAGGTGAGATTTTGAGAAGAGTAAGAGATGAACCTTTGAAATACAAAGAAAAAGAAATTGTTGTTCTCAAACAAATCCCTAGGAGAATAAGAGAATCCCGAAGAGAATATCAGTTTCTAACTAGAAAATTAATTGAAAAAGGAATGAATTTCAGATGGCTGATTCCAGGGGGGATTTTAATGTATTGGGACACGAAAAGATATAGACTGGATACGCCACTTAAAGCAATGGAATTCTATGATAACTACAGAGCATTTATGGAAGGAGGTGATTTTGAATCTGGTACAACGAAGAAACAAAGAATCAGGAAGAGATGGCAGTAGAAGGAGCAATCAAACCAAGAGAGGAAGAAATTAAAAATACATACATAGAAGAAGGAACAAGACCAAGAGAACAAAGACAGATAAGATCGACTAGAACAGGGCTTTTCAACCTGTAATACGCGTACCACTTGTGGTACATTAACGAGTGGCAGGTGGTACGCAGTCCTGCCTAGCCAAGTGTAGTGGGGGAGGAAAAGAGCCAGTGCAGGCAAGGACTTACTGTGAGAGAGTCCTCTGGAGCTGCAGAGTGGCTGGGGCGAGGCAAAGGCCCCGGACTCACTTCTGGCTCACCCTCCCCCATGAGAAAGGAGGAGGAGGGGGCGGAGACAGGAGAGGCTATAAAAGGAGGCAGTTTGGGCGAGAAAAAAAACAGCAGCCTTGGGAGGAGGCGGAATCAGCTCTAGCTGCACCGAAGGGGAAGGAGGAGGGTGAGGGGGAGAGGAGATCAAGCAGGCCGGCCAGTCATGAGCCGATCTACAACTGCTGTGCAGCCACCTGTGCTGGCAGCAGCAAATAGGCAAGAAATGCAGTGGGGGAGGGGTCACCCTCCAAGAGGAATGAAAAAAGGCAGCAATGGCTGGAGGTGAAGCAGGGAGGGAGGGAGATGGAGAGTGGAAGGATTCCTATGTGCTTTTGGGACTTTGAAGTTCTAGGATTTGTGCAATGTGAGCTTTGTGTTCTTAAGGAGTGTTTGGCAATTTCTATTTGGCTGATGGCTGATGAACGGTTATGCCTTGGGGTAGAGACGAGGAGATGGAATGAGCGAAAGTGTGTAGCACAAGGGGGTGGTTGGAGATACACAAGCGAATCAACGGTTGGGGAAAAGGAGGAGGGGGAGTAGCGTCCCTGAAAATAATTGAGACTACAGCAGATAGTCATGAGCAGATGAGGGGAACGGTCAAAAAGGGGGAGGAGAGAACAACAAATCTGGGTAATTGGATACATACGAAGAAAGCAATGGGCAAAAAGGAGAAAGGGGGAGTGGCAGCCCTAGAAGTTAGTGGTGCAATACCAAACAGCGGGGGGTGCACAAAGAAGGGGATTGGAGAAAAGAAAGTGGATAAGGGAACTGCGGCTTTAAAAACCATCAAGGGAACAGCGATTACGTGCCTTCCAAGAATGAAACAATCAGAGATATCAGATGGACCGATGACTAGGTCCAGGAGCCGTGCGCAAAATCGGCTGGCGTTATAAAAAGGAAACTCCCATTGACTTGTTTTTATGCTCTGATGATGTTGGCAGTGCTGACCGACGAAAGCTCAGCATTTTATTAAACCCTAGTTTGATATTATCCTGGTGTTCGTTATTATTGTTTTTTAAACACATGAACCCAAACAACATGCTCTTTGCTAAATATTAAGAATGTTATTTTAAAAAATTCTAACCCTAACCCCAACCGCATATAAAATTTTCACTATTTGACTATTCACAAAAAGAATATTCCATATTACAAAGGGAAAGTAGCAACTGAATTGAGAAGTTGCCAGAAATCCTTCTTATTAATTGGAGAACTCACAAGACAATTCCACAACAAATGAAACAAAATTAGAGCAATTCATTATTTTTAAATATCCCTATTATAGAACCAGAACTATTAAAGACCATTATAGAGAATGAATTTCAACATCTGCATTCCTTGAAGACTTCTGAAGAAGTTTTTTCCTAAACTTCTTTGCCAGTTACTAAACATCAAATAGAAACATATGTGAGATCTGTAAATGTTATTCCTTCTGAATATAGACGTGGCACACAAATATTTTCATTTTTACTTCACTACAGATTTCTAAAAAATCATCAATATGCATATATTAAAATGACTGTTGCATGCTAGAACTGCACTATCTAGATTGAAGCATTTAATTCTCACATTCATTTTTTACAGGAGCATGGAAAATTGACTCTGTTGGACTGCATTAGTCCATTCCAGGAAGCAGTATATCATTTTCTTATTCTTATTCTCAATTCTGAGAAAATGTTCAATCTTTCAAATATTATTTTTTTAATTTATAGCA